CTGACGGCGGTTTTTGCAAGCTTGGTGCATACTTACACGTCCTACATTCAACTTCCCACCAGCACGATTGATTCGAACAAACAAAAGGCTCGAAACAGACGAGCTTGGTGTCGGCCAAACGGAAGAGCCATAGTTTGCTGTTGTGGCATTGACACTTGCTGTGTACGATATATTCACGCTTGAAGGTGTTGGGTTCATGCTTACGTCAGATGAGGTCAAATTGACTGACAGAGTGGACATGTTGTAGTTGTGGGACATACTATGGCTCTGCGTCATATTATAGCTCTGTGTCATGTTGATTCCATAAGAAGAGCTTTCTGACATGTTGTAATCCATCGATGTCGAATAATACACTGTAAAGTAAGTACATTTATTTATAAATATACAAATTGGGCTTAACATGTCATTAATTATTTCCAGTACAGGTCTAGAGAAGTTCGTTGGTTTTCTAGTTGAGCAGAATAACATAAGCGGGAGAGGAGTCGAGGCTTGTGAACGCAACTAGTCACCCTCGTCAAAATTCCTTTTGTCCATTTTTCTCTTAAGCCCCAGGCCAGTGCACATTCGAATTCTCCAGATTCTTCTCCATACTTTTCCTTCAAGAATTACAGATATTCACCTTCTCTTTCTGTGGAGAAGTAAATGTCCTCTGCTTCCAGTTACAGTTTTCCTTAAATCGTAAAACGATGTACAAACATTAACGATACTTGCCTGTGGAATGGTTACACACACACACGCGGTAGCAATTGGATGGAAGAGGAGGTGTGGAGGAGATCGATGCAGAGTTTTCACTGCTAAGAACTGGCGACGTATAATTTCTTTCACTGCTTACAGTCGCGGTCATGTAGATGTCACTCAAATTGATGGACTGTGTTTCGTTCACAATCTCCATAGTTGAATACGTCATATACTGCGAGGCACCCACTACGAAGCAAAACAAATTTTTATTTCTTGTGCTTTCAAGAACACTAAACGAAAAAGAACTGATAAAAATTAACTGCATGCAATCAGTAGCTAAGATTTGTGCTGGTATGCACGGCGGCAGTGATAGGTTTTTAGCGAAAACTCGAGGAGAGCCTGTTTAACGTTTAAAACGACCGTCTGGCCGTCCGAGTGGCCTATTACGATAAATTCCAAGAAAGTTGCTTGGCAATTAACTCCCCACTCCGGAAACTATGAGAGAAACGCATACCAGCTTTCGGCGCAATGATTTGTGGGATCGTTTAGGTGGACAAGAGTTACTTATGATTGGTTTATAGTTGCCTTGATCATGACTACTATCTGTGAATCATAACTAACGCTTGTTCCACCCGCAGGATCACAGAAAACAGTGCGCCGAAAGCTCGTACCTATTCCCCTTAACGTATGGAGAAGGAAATTACGACGAAACAAAATAAACGACATGGATCTAAACCAGCCAGTTAATACCTACAGACGTGACCTTTAAATCCTCTGAAGAAAGCTTTTCCGATTGGACTTTCGGCGTGCTAACCGGAACAAAAATGTGGAAAAAGACTGATCTAAACAGTAGTTGGTTGCTACACCATTTTTCGCAATTTCCTGGCACCGTTTTTGATTTGTTCTCTTTTAAGAAGCGTCTTCTCGTAGAGAAATGGAAGGGAATGCTCCTTTTTAACGAGTAGAGGTTGATGTTCGGACTCATTAACCGTAAATTATCTGCCTGGAATTTATAATAAACAAATTCAGAAGAAAACTACGAAACCTCAAATGCTGAGAGGCGCGGCGCGCCCTAAACACCCGTTGAATATTTTACCGAGAGAACCTCCAAGCATTTTCGTTTATTTGCCGATCTAGAGTTTTTGTGCAACTTGCATCAGGGGCACCCAACGAGAATATAGCTCAAAACCACTAAACATAGCATTGTTTAACGTATTTTAGAATTTAAACGGTAGATATAGGCATATTTTTATCTCCTAAAATTTTTCATCTGTTCGGATTTCGTCGCTGAAAGTCTAATGATCCGAAAACTATAGGGATCAAAACTTACCTTTTAGAAAATTTCAGCCAAAGAAAAGGCTCCCAAAAATTCTAGGTGACCTTTTTAGGGTAAAAATCCGTTAAAAATGGGAAATGATACCATTTTTAGATGTTCGAAAATCCTAGGAGAGGCAGGCAAGCAAGAAATTTTGCAAGAAATGTTCCGAAAATTCTAGATCTCAAATCGTCTTACGAACAGATATTTTCCAAAAATTGACGGTTGGATGCCCCTGTTGCGTTAAAACACAACAATCTTAAGTTCTGGCGATAGGACAACGGACGGGTATAAAAAACGTTTGCCCGAACTGACCTAGATCATCATGATCACCTGATGAACGAGCTCATTCAAGCGATCGAAGAGTGGTTTCGATAAATGGAACAAAAATCTGAAAAACAAGATTGAGATACTAATCTGAACGATCCGAGTGCGAAGTTGGATCGTTCAGATTGCAATCTAAGATTGGTTTAGTTCTCAATGAAACGTAAAATCGAAGTTTTGATCGTAAAATCCGATTTTAGATGGCCAGAAGGAACGTACCCTATTTTTAAACTAGAGGTCGCATTCTGTATGCTGAAATATGATTTATTAAACTTTTTATTCGTAAAAGACCACTTTAGAGTAGAAAAATGTCTTTCAGATCCTGAGAATACCAAACTAGCAAAAAGTTGAGAAAGCCTGTGATCGATTGTCAATCTCTAGAAATTTGAGAAGCCACAAGCTAAAGGAAGACGACCGAATATTGGAAGTTCTAGACAACATGAATAAAATATAATACCTCAAATGAGTTTTAGAAAGAAACGACAGGGCACATTTCTCATTGACGAAGCTTCTGTAATTAGTCTATACTTCTAATAAAGTATTTTTCTAAATCAAGACCTTGGTGGATATATCGGCTGCGTTAAGTCATTTTATTAAGTGACAAATTTAAAAATGCGTCATAAAATAAAATACAAATGAGAAATAGCATTTGAAACAAAAACTTTAGAACAAACAAAAAAAACTTCTAAAAAAAATCCGCTTGATCTTATAATCAATCCGATGACTATTTGATGAATGTATGCAGCATGTTTCCAGAGAGAAAATATAAACCCTTAAAAGTCTGTTTTGTTTACGTGCGAGTAATACTGACTTATTTTGTATTTTTTCGATTTTTAGACACCTACGTACAAAGGAGGCAACGTTTGGTAAAATTGCCTGGTTGAGTTTATCGATAATTTTGGCTAATTTTACATAACAATTCGATCACCCTTGTCTGAAAGCCACAATCTTGCAATGTTACCAAAACAACCACCAACAGAAATAAAGCCACTAGTAATTGTCTCTGGGGAGGTTTTGGCAAAGTCTGATGTTGCCATGACTCCTCACGCATGCAATAAAGAGTTAAGAAAAATTCGAGAACATTGCCCATGCCCAATACGTCGTTATCCCACTCTGCCCCTTTAGAACCAAAAAACAAAAAAAACAGTCATTCTTTAAGAAACATTTTTTGTCAATAACTTGAAATAAAACAACAGGGAGCTATCCGACTGGTAGACATTTAGCTAATAATTCTTTTTTCCCTCTGATTATTAAGTTTCCCGCGGAAATTAAACGAATCTTAACCTTGCAGCTGACGATTGCATTTTCATCTTTATTTGAAATTATTCCACAATACTCATATTTCTAGTTTAGAATCAATAAAAAACGAAGAGGATAGAAAAAGCATTGTAAATACTGATATTCCAGTAGTTCTATTAAATTAATAAACATTACGTCGAACGAGTATTGAAAAATTAAACAGAATTCACCTTTAGCAGCTGAATAAAGGTAGCTTTTTTCTCATAACTAGTCATTTTAATAAAGGAATATACCTTAACTCGTATACTTGTTCACCAAACTTTTGGCGTTATGTTCGACCCTCTAGATCAAGCCCATTTTTAAACCCTCGTATATTCACATAATATCTGGCCGAAATCTCCAATTAGTGAACTCGTATGCTTAGCTAGCAAGAGATTCAAAAGCGAATGGTGGGCAGCTGGTCTAGTACGTTTATGTTTAAGTTAAGAGGAATCGATTAAGACTGAAGTGATTTACAGTCAGATTCAAAGCGTAATCAACTCTTCAATGTTTCTGTTTGACAGTTTAGCGTTCCAAGACAACTTAATTCACAGTAGTAAGGGATATGGAGGAAATTAATCGTAGTGACTTGAGTCATTCAGTTTACAATCCAATGGGGTAGCCTGCAAGAAAAGCTCGCCTCTGTAATATTTTAAATCGGTATAAACTTCAAAGATAAGCAGTGTATATGTTGACGTCGAGTCAGAAAAAAAACCTCAAGAACACCTACCTTGGCTGCCGCTGCTGCAGATAATTGACATGGAAATAAACAGCCATTTTTGTACGATGGAGGAAGATCGAAAAAGCCATCGTTTTCGTTGCGCTAAACAAAAAAAGTAAAATTCGGGATGCGTTAAGTGAAGCCACGTTTTTGTTCATTTCCAAGTCATCGAGGGAGTCTTAAATGTTACTGCGCTTTTCACAAACATGTGAATTCTGAAGTTCAAAAGCCAACTGACGATTGCATTTTTCGCTGCCGTCAATCATCTTAACGGACCTCTTGGGAAACAAAACTTTACTTTAACGGGTTCAAGAGGTCAAGGTTTGTGTTTGTGATTGGTGGATTTCGATCCGTTTTGTGTGTTTCTGTGTTTCAAGGTTCGTTGCTTGTTATCGTAATTATGATTGACGGCAGCGAGAAACGCAATTATGAAGGCGGCTTTTGAACTTTAGAGTTTGCATGTTTGTGAAAAGCGCAGTAATATGTATAACGATTTGTAAGTCTTAACAATCACCAAAGTATTCTTTGTCTAAATAATACGGAAATCTATAAGAGCAGAGGAAAGAAAACGCAAAGAAATATTAATTTTACACACACCTGGTACGTTTGTACCATCATCTGCCATCGCCTCTTTCCTTCAATTTATCGTGGCGTCGGAAAAAAAGACTTTCAACACGGACTCTGTCTGTCGTGAGCAAACAAGGACGTTTGATGAACAGGAGGACAGAGCGCAAAAACCGCTGATTGGCTAGTGGATAATGACGTAATTTTGCCTGTTTTGCGTAACTGCTCCTGCGCAAACCCGAGAAAATTGAAGATCGATTAAATGAAGATCGATAAGAAGATCAGCATGGCGGCAGAGCGTGAAAGAGAGCTGCTAAACTACAAGGACCTACAAGACTGCTGTTCGTAGAAAAAGGAATAATCAAATTTAGCAAGAAACCTTGAATGAAACTTATGCAACCTACTGTTTAATTGCCTTCAAAACTCTGTGCGTGAAGTTACTGAAAGCGCCGTTTGGGATGTCCACCGTATCATGTAAACATCGAGTGTTTATATTACACATCCTTCGAGCATATTTCAGCTTTCAGCAAACTGACATCGGATTACTCCTTTGCCCACGGGAACAGCTACAGGGAACTTGCTATTGATTGTACTCAAAGGCTTTCAGCTTTGATTGTCCATATTTTGAAAATGCGTTTGGCTGGCCAGAATCGACTTGTTTCCTGAACTTCGTGTGGTCGAACAGCTTTCATAGCTTTGATTTCAAATTAAAGCGTACACTTTGCCTCCTTTTAATTCTGATTCATATTCGAGTCGTAGAGATCCAAAAGTTACATATCGGGGTCATCATCATCGTCCTCATCGTACACAGGCAAACAGGTGAGAATCCAAACTCTTCAGGTTGTTTGTTTGTCATGATGATAACCTGCTATCAGGTGTTTGTTGGACATTTTACAGCATGCTACAAATAATGTTTTAGCATATGGATGATTGTCTACATGTATGAAGCTAATTTCTTTTTGCTGTTTGTTATTTGTAGGTACTAATTTTTATTTTTGTTCTGTTATTGTAGATTTTTTTTTTTTTTTTTTTCCTTTCAAGTGTTTGTTTGAAAAATAATTTCTTATGAAACAAGCTGTACATCTACCATAATCATTTTCTTACTTCTTTTGTTGTAGGAAACGGAAACCATTAACCTGATTTCTTGAAAGAGCTGAGGTTGTATAGAAGGGCAACTACCCCAATTCTCTTCAAATTAGATTTCTTGATTGATGAAAATTATTTTTCACTGTTCTAAATGGAATTTAACAATATATCTTCATTCACGCCAGGATCGTGCTCACTGGAGAGTTGTTCTATTTCATTGGGATAAAATTAATGCTTTTCTCCTTTTGTGCAATGATAGACCAATGACTTGTATTATTGAGATGTACAAGAGTGCTGAATATTGTCTCCTTTTGCACTGAGATGATTGCTTGTCATGATGATAACCTGCGATCAGGAGTTTGTATTTGCACTGGACAGTCTTTCTGCCAATCAAACATCACCCGGGAATGTGTATATTACTTACTTAGCACATAATTATAAGCATTGCTTTCAAGTTCATTTCTCAAAGTATGCTACACTAACTAAATGTGCTCCCTTGTCTCAAACAGATATGACATAATGAAAACACATTCATGAAATGAACATCAGATGTAAATACCGTAAATCCTCTTTTAACCCCCCCCCCCCCTCAAATAAGTTCCCCTTCCCCTTTATATTCTTTGCTAATTAATGAATGGTAGACTGTGAAACACAACTGTGAAACTTCGTGTGGACCGATCGAGGATGGTTCATTCACCAACTGGAAGTTCGGATTTGTTTATGATCCTCTGCTTTTCCACTTTGTATTCTGGTTCTTTATGGAGAACTGATACCATCGTCTTTGCTAAATTAAATAAGCCCTCCCTCTCAAACAAGCCTCCCGGGGTCCCCCATCCCCTTTAAGTGTGTTTGAAATAAATAAGCCCCCTAGGGGCTTAATACAGGATTTCATTAAACAAAACTGTCTTTCAGTCAATGAGTTAAATATTAATGGTGTTACAAAGAAAAATCTAAGATTTTGAACAAACATTTCTTTCCTGGAAAGAGTTTCAATACTTTCTGCCTGAAGCTATATTTGACATATATGTTGCAGGTAATTTTTTTATCTCAGGTAATTTTTATTTTCTTTTTGTTTCAACTTTATTAGCATACATTACCTGAGTTAAAAAAATTAACTACAACAAATACAAGCTTCATGTTTATTAACATGATATTGGCTTTCAGTCCAGGCCAAAGAATATTTTGGTCAAGCATGCAGTAAATGCCTACATTAGTGCACATGGGGTAGTCAACCTCATTACTCTTATACACAATTTACTTTGCACTTTCTTGTAAAGCATGTTTGCTGAGTTTAGTTGGGATAATAGCGATAACCTCGGGCAGGTAACTACATGGAACATAATCCCTCTGAAGTTATTATTGTCAACTAATGGTCCGGTGCAGGTCCTACTGTAGGCTACTCTGAAAGATGGTGAACAGTGCAACTCCATGAGAAATTCATTGGTTTAGTTATTTTTTGTCATGGGGTCAATACAATGAAACTTTCAGAAGTGAAAATATCTACCAGTGAAGTTATTATTTTGGGCTCTGAAAACAGTAGCCACACTTGTGTATTTTTCACACTTTTTAATGAATTTATCACTGGTTGCATTCCCCAAGTAATAGGAACACAATAAGTTTGCAATGTCACTTACTGTAACCAACCCATCACAACATTTAATGCTTAACTATAAACCCATTTCCCTTGAAATCTTGTTCCACTACTCACTTACACATCTTTCTATCTAATCCTATGATCCTACAAGCTTCCCCAAACCATTTCCTATCAATGGGAGGAGAGGAAGCGAAAAATAAACATCAAGACTGCTGTGTCACTTTTAAACCTAAAAACTAGCTTGAAAATTTTGCTTTCTGAGCATGATCAACTGTTGGAAGCTGATACATTGCATCTGGAACAGAAGGCTCTGTGAAGTTCCCAACTCACAAACAGCATTTTGGCTTTTTGTAGCCAGGCAGTGACCAGAAAACAGCTTGATTAGCTTCAAAAAACAATTTTCTGCAACATTTCCAGGAGTAAATGGGTTAAAAATAATGACTGAGCAAGCAACATATTTTGAGAAGGCTGATCACAGCACTTTTCCATTGTTTGAGAAACAGCAGATCATTATTGTGGCCAGTGAAATGAAAAAGGTTATTATATGTATTAATGACTTCCTGTTCCACCTCTGTGACTTAGTTTTCCACTAAACTTAGGTTGAGAAAGTGAACTTTCATTTGGAGGAGGGGGGAGGGTGGATGATGAAATGTGTTTTAAGAGATAGTCTGGATCATAATAATAAAGGTTAAAACCACAAGCACCCACCTTCAAGTTTCTTGTGGACTCTTTTATTTTGTCTTTGATTTCTTTGAACTTCTTTTTAAAAATTGTTTTGGAAGGACCCCCCACATGCTTTCTTTCATCGCATAGCAATATAATTTTACCTCCCTCTCCCCATCAATTTTAAGTTGTCATAATAATTTAAATTTTTCGATATATTTTATTTGTAACAGAAATACAGATTTACATGGCATTTTCTAGAACCTTAAAAAATTTCCCCAAGCCCCCCCACCCCCTATAATCCGTAAATCTTGACCGGCTCCTTCGTTCTCGTGGCCCCTTTTAAACATAGAACATGTCATGAGAAAAATGCCTTTACTGCTGTTTGAAACTAGAAGAATGACTTTTCCAGCTGCACTGTAGCCGTGATTTCGCTGAGGAAACAACGTGAGCAATCGCAACGATTCAGTGTCACCAAGGGGTATTTATATTTAGCGCGTCAAAAACACAATGTACATCACCCGAACTTTACTACTTAAAAAAAAATCTGCAAATAACCACTTTTATAGGTAAGATAACAAAGTTCTAGATTTCAATTTTCGTGAAAACCAGTTGCAAATCGAATTCCTTTCACTGTCAGTAGAAACAAAAATTGCGAAGCAAATAGGTAAACGACGTAAATATTCTTGTAGTTCTTCCAACTTCGTCTTGAACAAGCCTTTCTTGTAATTCTTAAGTCATGAAACAATAGTCCACTTTTAAAGAGCTCTAAAAAATTTTCATAGAAACGAAAAAAAAGTCATATTTGATATGTTTCACAGAAACTATTTACCTCCAACATTTCTCTTTCCTGACCTTAAAGAGTAAGCGAAACAAACAAACAAACTCCTGTAACACTATGGTAAAACAGGCAACAAAGGTGTTCAGCTTTTATTGCAACATTGCTGCAAAACAAGTTAAATAGCAATGTTGCACATTTTTATACCTGCCAACTTTCACGCCTTAGGCGTGAGTCTCACGCCTGCGGGTTGAAAACTTCGATCTCACGCCGGCTCACGCCTGCGGGCCAATTTCTCACGCCTGATTGAAAAATGTGAGTTGTTGCCGTCCTGCTTGACACAATTTCCAAAAATATGTTAACTCAGACCCATGTAAGGAACGAAAACCATGTGTAAAATGAATAAATGGCAATAGCTTCCTCGCGATCTCTGATTTTTGAAGTGAAAAGCACTGGGAGCGAGCTCGCCTTTGGCAGACTTCGGCAGACTTCGGACGTCTTCGGAAGACTTCGGACTTCTTCGGGAATCTTCGGAAATGATCGTGTCGTCTTAAAAAATCCCAGCACTCCCAGGATAAAAATCTCACGCTTATATCTCAGAAAAAGTTGGCAGGTATACATTTTACCACCCACAAAACAAACCCGTCAGGTTGTGCCTAAAGTAGGGTTCCCCAAGTCTTGAAAAGTCCTTGAAACTCGAATGTGGTCCTTGAAAAGTCCTTGAATTCCATTTTTCCTTGAAAAGTCCTCAAATTTCTGTGCTAGCCCTTGAAAAGTCCTTGAGTTGTCCTCAACTTTGAATGAAGTGGCCCGGAAAGTGTTTTTTAAGAGGCTGTCCGCGTAAGAACCGATAAGGCAAATTTCGGTCCATCACGGATTTCCCTGATTTTTTCAGTGGAAGATAACTATCCTATCACATGAAGAAATATCACATTTATTTGGACCAACTCAAGTTTTTCTCTATTTTAGAGGAAGGTTTTCTCGGTCACCTAAAACTAG